GAGCTAAATCTCTATAAATAAAAAAAAGGGGGCTCACTAATAATGCTTAAAGAAACATAACTTGCGTTTCACTTACCGCCAGATGTTTTCCTCCATGTTATCCCAGATTTTACCGCACGCTCTCCACATGTTGATCCGGAAGATCCTCACATGATCCCCCTCATTCTCTCAGTATATTTCTCGCAGGTTTCTCTGCACGTTTCCCCTATGTGTCCCGTAAGATCCCCACACATGTTTCGACACATATTCACAGTACGTTTTTCTGCATATTCTCCCGCATGTTCCCTACAAGTTTCTTCACCTATTTTCTGTGTAATCCTCCACATGTTCACTCCGTGTTCCCATAAATATTAACCTGAAAATTAAAGTGCGAGCTCAAGCATTTAAGTGTTTATTCAATACGAAAAACTTTTATCAAGCGCTTACGGCAGCGGATAGCTCAATAAACTAACTGGAAAAACGCATTTTTGCAAAAAAATTCAATTTTCCATAAACGTCACTTTTATATCATTACTTTACAATTGGAATTTTTCATACCGATACTTAACTTATAGTATCTCTAACAACTCATTTCATGGGCCGAGGCAACCTTTCAAAATTGTAACAGAACGTTAAAATCGATTTTATTGCGTTGAGTACAGTTTGTGTCCCCTGGGGTGCACTAAAAGCCGGTTGTAATGCCCTAGGACCTACCGTCCCGACTTATGCACGATCGTAAAGTGTTACAACGTGATGTGTTGCGAGTTGCAAATGTGTCTGGTTACCCCAAAATGCAATAATCTGAAACTGTTTTTGTCATAAATCATGTCATTTGTCATTTTAACACAGAACCGGGGGTAATGCCCAGTAATACACTTGTACGATATTATGTTGATGGTTTCTTATAAATTCAAAAATAATTTTAATGAACCTTTTTTCCTTATTTTCTGAACTTATTTATTTCTAGGAATGTTTTAATCGTTGTGGTATTTTCGCGAACTTATAACTTATTTTTCGTTAGTATTCTTTATTCTACGTTAACCTTCAATTACTTTAATATAATTCTTAATTATGTGCTCTTCACACTTTTTCGACTTTACAATTGTGTAACAATATATTAATGAAGATTTGAACAGTGTACTTGGCTTGTAAAAAACAATTATATTGATAGTATATAACAAATGATTGGGCTGTTGATCACAATTTAATGAATATGTACTTTGGGGAAATTTGAAGAGCATTTTTGTTATTCGAAATTGAGTCCAAAATTATAGTAAATATAGTGAATTGATATGGTAATGGGAGTCTCTCAAAGCTTTGGAAAAGCCCTTGTGCTTATGACAGTAGCCGTTGCAAACGATCATATCTGAAGTATCGATGGGGTATCAAGTTTATGTATATTTCAAAATTTCGAGGTGGCCACCGGATGCATTGAGCAACTCTTAGGTAAATGTCTTTATTATATTTAAAAGAAATGTATGCAGTGGTTGACACTTGCCTCTGATCCTACACATCAAACGAAACAAAACATTTCACGGAACTTAAGATTTATATTGAATCATTCTCTAGAATGTCTGTTCAGAGACTTTCTGAGAGTACCCGGTCTATCCCAAGTGCTTCCTGACCCGCTTCCGCAAATTGTAAACCCTGGGGACCGCGCAGTTGTTTCATCATTTCAAGAAAACTGTCATTTCATCACTCTTTTCCCTCGTACTACTTTGTGAAGTATTTAAAAGACATGACAATGTTCGTTATGTCACGGCGATGTGTAGTTGACACTCCAGGTGTCATGATCATTAAAGTACTACTATAAAGTTCCAGATGCCAGTTCAATAGTTGAAGGTAAAGAGATATAAGGATTTTCTGAGTTACAAAAAAAAATGAGCTTTTTATAGAAGCTGGGTTGAAAGTGACTGTGACTGTGAGACGTCCATATCCTCTTTCTATCTGAGATCTGTGTTTTTCCGTAGCACGTTGAGTATGATGCCCCGGAGTTTCTAGCTCAAAAACCCGTGTCCAAAGAGTAGATATACACTAGGCCTTCGGGGCCCCATCCACCGACTGTGGCCTCTGGGGACAGCAGCTGATCTGTGGCCTGGGAGAAACGCCGAGCAAGAAAGTTCTCACTGGTTGCTTTTTTACCAGCATGAAGCAGGATATTACGTTCATTAAGATGTATTGTAATGACCAAATGACTTCATTTGCCTAGTGAAGGAGATGATGTGAGATGACAAGCATTAATTTTTTTATGAAGCAAGAACAAATAAGCTTCTTATGTATACTTACTTTTTAATTACTCAATGAGATCCTAAACAATGTACAAGATAAAGGAATCTTTTATATCATTTTCGTACTTGTATTGAAGTAAATGTATTACTTCAGTTCAAGGAAAAAGTTAATATCAGTACTATTTTAATATTTATTGCGTATTCTGACTCAATTCAAGAGTTTGATCTCTCAGAGATGTATGCTGTTGATTGTTTCATAGTGGAAATAAAACAGGCCTATACTTCACGGTTTATAATTACAGATGTTTATATAAAATTACACTCCTGCGTTTAATTTTATTGAAGAGCACTTAACGCTGGCGTTGACACAATTTGTGGGTAGGATAAGTTAGACGAAGCGTAAGACTTTTAGGCGAGTAAGACGTTGTTACAACTGCAACGAGAGGTCGAATAGAAGTAAAATCCTTAGTTGTGATAATTTCGTAGTTGTTTTTGAAGTCTTGGAACCAGATGAAGGAGAAAGAACTCCGAATGTCACTCATTAGCTTGCGTACTGGCTTGCTCCTCCTCACAACTAAAGTGAAAACTGTGCTGACTGTGTACTCACACTGAATAGAAAATTGTTGAACTAACTTGAGTCAATGAACTTAGCCGCAAACGAGTCATATTGTCAACCAAAGAAACGGGAATGTGGTAGAGAGAATTTGGTAGTCTTTCTTCAAACAATTAATCAACCAGTACAAATAAGAATTGTTCAGAATGTTAAATATCCCAAATTCAGTAATTTCATTCAATTCAGTAATTCACTTTAGTTCATCGATATCGTCATTTGGTCAAAAAGACTTCTGTGATTTATATTATAATAACTCCAACTAAATATTTACGGAAAACAAATTTATGCATTTTACCTTTCACGTTAGTACATTGCAGGCTTCAGTCGCCTCTGACAGAAGTTTCACATAGACGAGTGAATTATTTTGTTATGGTTTCAAATCCCTTGAGTCTTCGGTATTTACCCCCTATGATTGTAAATTGCGAGAATGAAATTAATATAATAAAATGGTACTGACGAGAATGTAATTACACATTTAAAGAATCGTAGTAATGTTGTAATGTGGTTTCAAAACAAGGAAAAAATCTGTAACGTCAAAAAAGAAGTCAGTATCTGCAACACTAAATATACCATAGACCAAAAAGGCTGTTGGAGGAAAAAATAGTTAGCAATAAGAACTACCAGATAAATTTTCTAAAAGTAGTGAAGTTGGATACAATTTTACAAAAGACAGGATGAAATTATAATGAAGACAGAACCATTCAAGGTCGAGAAGTTTAAAAAGTAACGAGAAAGACCTTTGTCTTACAACAAGCTCCTCCAAACCGAGAAGTACTTAACGACGTGCAAAAAGTCCAATATGAGCTGTCTAAACCATAAATTCCAAAACACCTGGCTACTGAGGGGTGTCACGTCCCGGTTCCCGTAGTACTATCTAAAAGCAAGCGTTAAATCACCGGACACTGCGAGTGAGCACAGTAACAAGACCCGACTCACCGGCCTACCCCACCTCCGCGCTCTGTGGGTCGTGCCTAATTCGAAGAGTCATCGCCGGCGAGAAATATCATCGCACGTGACCATCCATCGCGGTTCGCTCATCGCGCGACCTTTCGCCGTGGAACTTTCCTCCTCGCTCGTGGTCTGCGCGGCGGCGGCGGCGGCGGCGGGGGCGGCGGAGGGCGCGCAGAGACGGCGCGCAGCCGCGCGCAGCCCACGTGGCGACCGCGACCCCTCTCCGACCTGTGCCACCCACGCGCTGCCGACGCGGCCACGCCCCTCGCGGGTGCGCTTCGCGTGGGGACACTCGCAGGAGGCCTCGATTGCACTCGGTCGTGCGGCGGCAGACTCTTAGAAAGTGTTCGGAACTGTTTCTATGGTCCGATTCAAATAAGTTGGTATTTGACAGTCGTGCTTCAAAAGGTGTTGCTTCGTACAGTATGAGTATATGATTTGGTTATTTTTATGAGTATTCAAGTAAGTTTTAAGTCTTTGTTTTCGTTTCCCGGGAGCACGTGTTCAATGGTATGCAACCTGTCAACGTCGCTCCTTTCCACTCGCAACTGTCAAATCACCAACTTCTTTTAGTAATTAACATTCCACTTTTCCAGCCTAGACACTTTTTTAACGACTACTAAAACATAGTAGTAAAGCAAAGTTCACAAGGGAAAAACTAATTATTTGAAATTATATTTAGACGTAATTTTGTGTCAGCTGCTCATTTCAAAGAAAGCAATGTTTAGTGTTAACTACAATTATATAGACAAGAACTTCTGTTACAACCATAATGTTTAGTACTACATTAAAGTAACGTTGCAGCAGGTCTTATCTGCCCATGAGTATGCATAGATGCACTCTGCAACGAGAAAAAGGCTGGTTCTCTCAGAATTCTTTCCACAGTTTGTAGCACGCATGTCGGCCCCTGGCAGCTGTAATGAGGTAAGAGACTCTCCAAAGAGTTGTATCTCCACTTATGGCACGGTAGTTAAGGGTCGTATAAATTTAGAATTGTCTAGTAAGCGTGTCACCTCCCGCTGCGTTTTCGCAATACCATTTACGAATTTCCTAATCTCACATTTCCACCATCCATTTGCACCCTAAACGATCAAAAGACTTAATTATCGCCATTATCTGATCCTCAAGTTACACGATGACGTGTCGTGAACCCTAACAGGCTGCGGTTCGAAGGGTCAGCTTTGCTCAACGGGCGCGTTGCGCTAACACTGGGAGGTGAATGATGCGACATGTCGCTGCAGGAATTGTGCCAGATGTCTCATCAACGCACTCTCCACGGAACAATGCCCGCCAATGGATTTAAAGGTCCGCCAGCAGCGTTCGGCGTTCTCACGGACATCGCACAGGATAATGACAGGCTATTAGTTTCCAGGTACTACGTCTGTAAATCAAATTGCTGAAAAGTAAGTTGTAAAAGCATATCTGCATGTTTTGCTCACATGAGATTCTATACACGCACGCGATAGTTATAAGTCATGTCTAACCACAAGCTTCGTTGGCATTTATTGAACATGTTGATTCTTACGTACTCCCTCTTGTATGTCTACCCTATTCTATTCACAGTATTGAAGAAAAAAATATTATGTGGCATTTGAACATTTTTATTTCAGCGTAATTCTTAGTAGCAACTTCATGCTGAATAAGTCCAAGCGTTTCCCCCGACTGATTTCAAGTATAATGATTTTATTGATTGAAATAAAATGTATGATAAACCATGTAGTAGTTCCAGTTCACCTGAAAAATTAATGTAAATACGAATTTTAAAACTTCAAATAGATTTTGCAATCATTTTGGGCAATTATTTCGTCGTATTCATCGTGGTTTTTGATAGAACAACAAAAAACTGTCTACAACTGCCTCCAAATTGCAAAAGCTGCTTGAAGTTCATTTGCCATCCACCTCAACTATTTTTACCTAAAAATTGCATTTCATTAAGAACCCTCGAATGTTATTACTTTTATTCTCGCAGAAACAATTTTCTCACAGCTCACGCAGAATTTGCTGATTGGGATCTAGAAGTTAGCGTCGTGTAACGCCATCTATTTGCACATAACTTTCTTCAGCTGTCCACAAATTAATTTTCGTCTACCTTCCGCATCCTAAAATTTAACAGAGGTCTCGCACCATCAATCAGCAGACCCTGATGAGATGACCTCACTCCCCGAGGCGACTCCTGAGAGGCCTGCTCCTTCTTCTCCTTCTCCTTCTTCGCGCCGCTCCGTCCACTCCCACGCCATGTTCACCCGAGGCCTGTCATTGCCTCCATCCACGCCGCCATGCGCAGTCCTCACTACAGTTGCCAACTCACCACCAAATCCTCCATATACAGAGTGTCCGGGGAGGAAACGTCAAAACTTTGCAAATAAGCTCTTAAGACCATTTTAAGCATATTTTGTCGAATAAATTACGTTGATATTCCGAATGTCCGCAATAAGCACTCAAAAGGTGTTTTGAAAAACATTTTATAGGTTAAAATTTGCATTGCAGAAGCATAGAAACACTCCAGAAGCATGTAAATTGTTTATTATTATTTACAAAAGAAATTAATATATTTGTTAAGAAAGAAACATTAACACATAAATAAAAAAGCGCCTAATTAACACAATTTGACTGTTTTTGTATTTCTCTCTTAATTTTTCTTTCTGAACATAAGCCAAATATACTTAAAATTGTCTTAAGAGCTTATTTGCGAAGTTTCAACGTTTCCTCCCCGCACACCTGTATATTTGTATAAGAACTGCACTGTGTTGTTTTCCAGTTCATTGAGAATGAGAGAGGGAGAAAATGTAGCGGAAACATTACAACATCGTCAGCACTTCAACAGTTCCGCCCTGATGCATGTTGATGGGCGGCTGTCTCTAGTTAATACATGGTTTACGCTAATAGTAAAAACGAAATGTGAAGAAATGTACTAGATGAATGAAAATATTAGATGGAAGCCCCCTTCACCGGTGCTCTGGCACCTTGTTAAAAAGGAGATCCAAGTGTTTATTTTCAGTGCCCATGTACTATTGGTGTAGGCTTGTTGTCCGTAGTTTTATTAACATCTGTGCGCAGGCACCTATCTTACTTCCAGCGCCCATCTTTTGTTACGTTACTATGCTCTGTGTCGTTTTTATATTTGTAGGTAATTTTTTCTTTGCAATTGCTTTGGTGAACAAAATAGTCATAAGACAAATACAGTCATGACCTGAAATACCCAATATAAGAGAATAAACGCTTTTTTAAAATTGCATGTGCCTTCATCTTTCAAAATGCCTATAGTTTTGACAAGTGCAGGGATCAACGCATTGGCTTTGCAAGTTGCAATGAAGAAAGTATTATTCATTTTTTACATCTCTTGTATAATTTTGTTGCTCACCAATTCACCTGGCGGTATGCCATTACGTCACCTTGGCTATCCGAGATAATCACGTACAGTCCAACGGCGACCCAACGCTGGAGGCAAAAACGTTCTCTAGGATTCACTCATTGCTTGAATTCCTCATAAAATTTATACTTTTTGGCTGCTGGTAATATGGAAAGTGCCTCTATGCATTGTAAGGCTGACATATGACTCCACAAATATCAGCATACTACCCCCACATTTTAGAGCAGTTTTTACCCCAACTTAGTAATCGTCAGCAAGTTTTATAGGCACTGGCTCATTCACATATATCAGTTAAAACAAACAAAATATTCATGCTATGAAAGGCTAGAGTGCATACGAAAATATAAAACACAAAATTAGTTATCATGATAATGGTGATGATAATAATAATAGTTATGATGATAATAATAATAGTTATGATGATAATAATAATATTAATAATAATAATACCTTTGAAGAAAACCTTTAAAAACTCGATAACCCTCCGAAACTTTTAAAATTACTGCAAAAGTCTGTTATCTTAAATACTTGCCGCATTGTCCGCAACTTTATACATTTAGATTCTTAAATAAATAGCAAATAACACACTTGACGAAAATCCCGTTGTTATTTGAGAACCAGATCCTCCGGTAGACCAGCAAAGTGTAAACATAGTATTAATAATAATAATAATAATAATAATAATAATAATATATTTTGAACAGCCCACATTCTGCGCAAAGTATTGTAGAGGCACTGCAGCCCCTAGATCTACTCCAGGTTGGCTGCAACCTGGAGTATATTTTATATTTCGCTGACTCATAACATCTTTAGTCAAGATGTAGAGGAAATAATAATAATAATAATAATAATAATAATAATAATAATAATAATAATAATAAGCTGCACTGATGTTTGACAGGTACAGGAACCGACAGGGGACGACTCGCTCACTGACAATGACAGTATCGAGGTTTTTGTCTTTAGTGCTTGGCTTTGATTACAGAAGTTTCTGGGTTTCACCGCCATGAAGTTTGAGGTTTGACATATTCGCGATAACGACAATGAACGTTAAGACACAGTCCCCCAAACGCGGATTTAAACCAGCTAACCCTTGATTATGGAGAAGGAAGCGCATTAAGGGAGCGGATGTACTAACATTAAAATAACGAATACGGTCGTGACAGGCAGCTTTCGCAGCTTTCTCATGAAGTGTGCTAACCCCTGCTTCCCTCTCATATAACTTGTGGGTGATGATAAAGATAGTGGTAGTAGATTACTAGCGACAGGTAATGAGACATTAAAAATCAATAAAAAATAACAATAATTGAAACCTGATATTAATTGAAACATAAAAATAACTGAAACATGAACCGCCTTCTCTATTAGACGATAGATGCAAATATATTTATATAACTGAAATAGTGGATATTTCTGTTTTAATTGAAGGTCATAAAGCGACAATTATGTGGATTGACACCACAATTGAAAGAGCAGTGCTTATGAACTAGATGAAAAATAAATACAATAACATTGTATCTTGAATTTATTTACTTTAGTTCACTTTCATCTAATTTCATTAGTTTATTAAAATGCACTTCTGCGCTAATGCAATGGGCATTTAGGTTGTGTTCTTAACAAATCTCACATCATATCCTCTATAATTAAAGAGAGCATTATGGAAACGAGAATAGGGGATGGAGAGAGGCGTATTTCGATGGCGGAACTGTTGTCAACTCTTGGGAGCCCCTCGTCTTCTTTGAGGGTACTTTGAGGCCGCATCGTCCATCAAGTCACTGGGCCGCAACCGCTGCAGCACCTGTCGTTAGCGAGCTAAACGTTATTTGTGAAACACAACACACAGCAGCTGTTAACGTCATTCGACTACTAGAGTCAATAGCGGACCCCGGTTCAGTTTTATGTCCAACCTGGTCCGATATTTGTGATATCGGCCGCGTCACGGTCAATACTTTTGATAATGCACCATTCTTATAGGAACTAGTGATGCTAAAACAGCACATACCTTCTAGAATTATTTGTAAATTTGCAATTTTCGAAAATCCAGAGAGTTCGGCATAAATGAGAACATTTAAGCGTCCCTTCTTGTATTCGCTGAAAAAGTTTTTAAAAAAGGGTTGGAGTTTTAGAAAATGTGTTCTTCAATAAACTGCATTAATTTCAAGCAGAAATTACACAACGATGACTCCTTTTTTTTAAAAAAATTGTATACGACCTTTCTTAAAGGTTAGTCTTTAAATTACACGTTTAATTAAGAAAAATCTCTGATTTTAATACTAATAGTTTTAGGAACACACCGTAAAAAATTGAACTTTTTCAATTTTCGAAACATCAGGGATTTTAATGAAAATGATGCCTGTCCCTTATCTCAAGCGTCCTTTACGTTATCCGAAAAAATAAGTTTAATTTAAAAATTTGGAGTCATTTTTGAGAAAGTTTTCAAAATGTTGAGGTTTCTTGTAAAGTACCTCTAAAATCAAAATATCCCTTTCAAACTGAGAGGGTCTCGAGTTCATTTAAATCGATCGGGGAATAACAGTTGTGGACAAAATCGGCTGAATGGTTTGCGCTCTAGTGTTGACCACAGACGGACAGCTGTGTTCCGTCAGTCAATTTTTCGATATCAAGAACCCACAAAACATAGATTCTGAGAACACAACGTGTTAGAGGAAGTAATTTACAATATACAGGAACAATATTAATCCAGTTTATCATTACCGAGGCGCGACAATAAGGGATTTTTCTGTCATTCGCCGTTTTCCGGCTCACGTTTACCACGTTTACCGTGTCTTCTTACGAAGTAAGGAAGTTGAAAGCCAGCGCATATTCACCTGAGGGTGGGTTTCGCCGCCCCTTCACCGCCCGCTTGACGCGAGGAGCGCTCGAGGTCGGAGCGACAAAAGGGGTGACGGCGCGGACGACGCCTGGAGGGGCGACGGCGTAGCGCCTGGATTGACGCCCGACCGCCCCGCCGCCTCCGCCCCCGCCGCCCCCGCCGCCCCGCCGCGCCCCCGCCGCTCACGCCTCCGCCACCGCCACCGCCCCCGCCTCCGCTCCCGCCTCCGCCCGGAATCCCCGACCGCACGGCGCCAGCTGCACAAGAAGCACGGAAAGCGTCACCGATAGAGCCAACTCCCCCTCGCTAACCTCGTCCAAGGAAGATCTGGCTTTGCAAGGAAAGAAGAAATTAAGTGCTTTTCTTTTCAAAAAAGACAGCTCGCGACCTTTATAATTTCTTCTGACATTAACCTATAAAGCACTAAGAAAAATAACGTTACCAAGATATATATCCATTTTTTACATATAAAGCTAAATAAAATAGCATGATAGTTATTATTAACTTGTTGAAGTTTTGTATCTAGATGAAATGTAATGAAAAATGGTTTATTACTGTTAAGTTGAACCGATGTGTGTCAGAAGCGCTATCTTGCAGTTCACTCTTTACGAGAAGGCTTTTAGGCATGGGAATTAGACGAGTTGCTCAAGAGGGAGAGTGCATCGTACCCAAAAGGGCGCACTTGCCCCTCGAACTGTTTTCTACGCAGATGAAATCTCAGTCGTGCATGGTCCTTCCAAAAAGTGGGGGGATCGTTCAATAAGAAGTCTCATCTCTGAGGATAGCCGAGGGGGAGATACCCAGATTGTTCCAGATAAATCCACTGAGTCAATAGCCACGGCCATTCAGAGAAACCAGAATACACTAGGAATTCTGACAACTTTGGGTTGCCTGGTTTCACCTTCCACTTTTCCACTGGGTACTATCGACTTTGGTTTCAACGAAAAACTCCGGAAATAGGGGATGCATATAATCTTTTACCAGAACTGGACCAAGTTCTGGGACCGCCAGACTTCTGCAGGCCGTTACGTTGAGCCACAATACTTTACCCGCATTGGAAACATTGCATGCGTGACGTGCGTCAAGGCAGGGAATTGAAGGGCACCCACCGCGCCGCCCTTCGCCGTCGTCCTGACCGCCCGTGAGGGTGAGGGGCACCCAGTTGGCACCACTGCGGAATCTCGCCCACGCATCTCCGCGATTCCCAGCCGCCAGCAACTTCACCGGCTCGTGCGACCTGCAAAAGCCAGCGCGCCCCATCCACACTCAGGCTGAGAACGAAGCCCTTGATGGCATCTGTGCCCTGTACTTCGTACATTTATTCAGTTATGTATGATTTATGCGTACGTACACAATACATATTTGAATATGTGTTATACTTATGGTTCAAATCAAAGTTCGTTTATTCATCTAATCATTTCTTAGCGCTGACGCGTATCTTTTAGACATTCCAGAACCTCTGGTTCCACTTTTTTACAGCGACGATTACCGCATTGGATCTCATCGCACAACCGCCACTCGCTTGCCAACCGGCCTGGCAGTTCGTTACAACGGCCACTGCTTAAACAGTTTAAATGCAAATCTTTTCGAGAAATGTACAAAACATTTCAGACATCACTCCCAGTCCAGAAGGTAACCGTTCAGTCTCACATCTCAAATGCGTCTATCTAATCTATGACGGCAGATGATCGCAAATAAATTGGACTGAGTCTGTCGATTTGTACGAGGTACGTTTGTGCGAGGTAGAGTTAATCCAGTTTTATCTCCAGCTCCCCAACAGCCAGTTTATGCGCATCCGGCGGACAAGTTTTGTTCAAGATGTACGCGTAGTTTTTCCCAACGTAGTTTTAGTGTGGGTTAGCCCTCCCCCCCCCCATAAATGTCGCAGGCCGACAAGTAAGGTAAGTTTCGTATCCACACAGTTCACGAACTCCTTTAATATCCGCAATGTGCTCCATCAATTTATTTGCTTCGTGCCGATCATCTCGGGTCAGTTCATAAGCCCAATTAAGCCAAAACTTAAACTTCTGTTGTCAACTGCAACAATTCTACAACCTCGCGGGCGAGAGCAATTTTAAGATGTGCGATCTAGGAAATCCAACAACAAACATTTTTATTTATTTATTTAATAGGTAATTATTACAGACAAATTAGCTTACTTGATCCTATGTGGCAAGGCCGAAGGCCTTTAAGCCATTACAATACCTGCATCCTTTCGCGTTCTAATCTTTCGAATTCTGGTATTCACCCCAAATGGTCTCTCCATCGCATCAAAGCCGCGGAAAAGAGACCATAAGGTACGGCTCAGGAAAAAAACCCTGAAGGGGGAAAAACCTGCCGTCAGAAGCAGAGTAGATTCTAATCTATCCGACGTTTATTTTAGCTATTTTATTTTCTGGCGCGGGCGTCCCGCCGTCTCCTTCCAGTGCTTGGCCTCCTCAGCACCTGAAATCAAACAGCGCCACAGAAGATCGTCCTCACCAACGCCTCTGCCCTTATATTTTCGATCCCCCCTTACCTCCCCCCCCTACACAACATTTTTCAGTGCGTGACAGACTTTCCACTGACTGTCACTTCACATCATCCATCACTTGACGCGGACTGGTCACCGTTGCCACTCGCGCCAGCACCCAAGTCGCACCTCCCGAGCTGCTGCCGCGAAAGGCCACCAAGTCGAATTGGAACGGCCTCATTTGCTTCAAGGGAATCGAAACAGCGCTAAAAACGAATCATAATGAACTTCTACCAGACAGCTAAAAAGGTACTAGTGACGGACTGATCGCTGCAAATAAAAACTATTAATTCCAACTTCAGTGTACCCAGTTTAAAGGGTTTGAAATCACGGCGAAGAACTCCCTTCTGGAATTTAATCCAAAGATAAAAATAATCACTGATAAAATTATTTGCTCCTTCAAAGTTTAGTTTGTATATTGTTGCTCAAATATTTTTGTTATTGAATGGAAATTATTTCTCATTCACGATCATTTTCGAGTAGAATTTCCCGGAACACTTATGCTATTCTCAATTGTATGTAAGTATGTCATGTTCATAGGTCACGATCACATTTGAAACCAGAAGCCAATCCAGAATATTATTCAAATAATTCTCTATCAGGGTCTAGATCGCCCAGCGACTCTAAGATCTGTAAACAGATGTAATTATTAAATTACTTCCTCACTTAATGAAAGACATCTATACGGCAGAGACTCTGACTGGGAGGTCCTAGAGTTCGTGTCCCGACGGTGGCAGAATTTCGACCCTAGCTATAGAGCTAAGTCGAATTCAGCCGCTGCGTGGGAAAGAATTCTAGCGGTCCACTTCTCAGATCATAGTTTTCCATGGTTTCTCCGATCAATAAGCAAATCCCGCAATGGAACCCTTACAAACGGATAGGAAAACGATTTTTCCTTTAACTTCTTTGGCGTATTCTTTTTACTTATATACACACGTACGTGCACTACACTACCACACATATCGGGAAACCAGTCAGGAGTAATAGAACTTGCCCTGGAGCCCCGCTGAGGGGAGAGACCTGGATGGGATAAGTAGTAGACGTGTACGAAAAGGGCGGCACCGGATCTCCAGTGGGAAAGGAATCATCGCCTCCTCCCCGGATAAACTCATTGACAAGACACATGGGGCTTTGGGCCTTAACGATTGAAATGCGTGAAAAATCAATCAGAGATTGCATGGCAGGGCAGCAGCGCCGACGCACCTGTGACGGGTGTTTGCGGCAGCCGAATGCTCCTTCCCTTCGCCTCGCGCCTCTTCGGCCGCCGCCGCCCGCGCCGCCAGCAGCCACGCGCACGCCGACACCACCTGCCACACAGGGCGGGCGCCAAGTACTCGCTCCTGGCGGGAGGGGAACTTTAAATCTGCCGTCACTTCCACGGCAGAGAGGGAGGGTCACCACGGCTGACGGGCCCTACGCATCACCGCCCTTCCCCTTACCTCCCCTGCGGGACAAAGGGCAGGATAACAGCAGACGGGCGGGCAGACACAGGCAGGTCAGCACACATAGGCAGTGCGGCAAAAACACAGGCACTCTGGCAGACAGACATAGGAAGTCCGAAGGAAGTCCGCAGACAGACACCAGCAGTCCGACAGACACATGCAAGTCGATAGGCACAAACAGTTCGGCGGATACACAGGCAGCCCGGCAGACACACAGACAGTCCGCAGACACATAGGCAGACACAGGCAGTCTGGCAGCATATGCAAGTCGGCAGGTACTGTCAGATCGTCTGCCGTTACATAGGCCTTCCGATAGTCAAGAGTAGATCGGCAGTCACAAGCAGTCCGACAGACGCACACGCAGTTCGGCAGACAGAGGCAGGCCGGCAGACACACAGGCAGTTCGGTAATTATGCATGCAGTCCGGCAAACAAAGGTGATTCAGCAAAGGTAGTGCGGGAGGCTGGCAGTCTAGCAGACAAAGGAAGAGGGTAGGAAATAATTGAATTGAGCGAAATAAAAGATCTCAAAACAACACTAGCAATGGGTTGTTGCAACAATAATTATTTTAAATGCACTTGAAAAGGGACCAGAAACGCATTGTGCCAGAAACGTGTTGTTACCTTAACTGCCTTCATATCTCGTTGAGCCTCAGCCGGACTCTGAACACACAGAAAATGTAGCTCGCTTACAATGATTTCATCTATTGTCAAGACCAGTTAAAAGTTGTTTTTATCTCCAAATATTTGATTGATTACGTTTTGAATTTTAAACGTTCGGAACATTGAACATTAAAACATAAAATATTCGTTTCCTCTTTGTTTCGCACATTGTACGAATAATACATAATACATGCTTTGTTGTTAAAGGTTTGAAAATTAATTTTGCCGTGTTTTATTATACAACCGAATGTATTGTGTGTGACAAACACCAAAGTTTATTAGTCAATTAAAACTGATCAATAATTTAATTTTTTGACGTTTCCATTGTGAAAACGTACTTTTTATAACTCTGATTTATGTCTTCGGAGAGATAATTACATTTATAACCCCTACTAATTGAACGCTTAAAAAGAAATCGTTACATTAATTTTTACCTCAGTAAACCCACAGAAAGACCATTCTGCTATTGAAAATATCCATAAATCTTCCAAACATACAAGCACTTTTATAATAAGTAAAGTGCACCAAAGGTTGTCATTTGAATAAAATGACTTTCCATCAGCTCAATTAGAAAACATTATAGGGAGTTATCGAAGATGTTCAGATATATACATATATGTACAATTTCTTTGACAACCTAGCTACTAACTGTACAAATTATTTTAATTCGTATTGCGCAGTGTTGCCCAACAAGCTAAAAATGTAATAAGTTGTTAAAGGCGATCCTGTCGCCTGGTCTGCACACTAGCCTAAGCGGCTGCTATGGTTAGCTGAACTAGTGCAACTCTACCTAAACGACGACTAGCCAGAAAGCATTGCTTCCTGCTCACTTCCAACCAGGATGTCTTCTGCGCCCCTCATTTTGACTCTGGCTGTGATGGCGAACGGACCTTTGCTGGGTAAAATGTATCTTTACTCTCTTGGAACATACAATACGAAATGTGCGTAGAACACTTAATTATTAACAAACATCTGTAAGACTCGGAGTTGTAATGTAAGTGTGCATGTGTTGATGTTTAGTTTTCAAGATGAAATTTTGTGATAAAATAAGTATGTCTTCTGTACCACGCCGTGTCACCTTCCATGATAATTAGAAATTTCCTAGTTTTGTGTGCTGACCTCGCACAGCATGTCATTGCGCTAAGAGATTTTATATAATCTAAGCATGCCTCCGATTTGGAAAGCTCATTGTTACTCCTCAACTTATGACATTGGCCAAATGCCGTATATGTCTGCTGCATATTTCCGCCAAATGAAAGCACATGTACGAATAGTTCTTGTAATGGTATTGGGGAAGTTTTAGACAGAAACTGAAGAAAATTCTTCTTATGTTATTTGAAGGTTTTCTCAAACCGGTGAAACTTTTTTCATAATCATTTTCATAATTTGTATGAGTTGTATGTTTGTATTTTGAGGTAAGGAAAGAAGTCATTTTGTTTATTGGTAACCGATATGTAAAGAACTTAAATATTATATTTCATAGTGCTCTGAAATCCAGAAATAATATTCTTAAACTATTTCGCTGCTAAATATTCAAATAATATTCTTAGTGCTGAAAAATAGAGAAATGGTATGAATGTTCTTAATTTATATTTTGTATTCAAAGTTTTACTTATTACTTAATGTGACAATACTAATGAAATATTAGTTTTTAAAATATTAAAACGAAAGGTGTCTGGAAACATTTACTGTTCTTTGTTAGTTATTGGCAGAACATTTTGGTAGCTGTAGTTCTGTTGTTGTGTTAAAATATTAAATGATGTGTCAATGATTGGAGCGTCTATGAATCAGGAAACAGTTTGAACACTATATAGCATCGAAGGCATTCATGGCCGGAGTCAATAGAAAATAAATTTTCCGGGCTGTTAGTCCGTGTCCCAGTTGGCATTGCAGGGCCATTGCATGGCAGGGCCACGTCTGAGATGGAAATTCTCAGTGGCGGCAGGGTCGCGGGCGCAGTGTTCGGGGACGCGGCTGGCCAGCCGCCAGCCTTACTCTGACCCCATCCCCAAATTTCCGGTCACCTTCACTCATTTTCTAACTAAAATAATTAACAAATCTATTCGAAAATAAAAACAAAACACTTTTAAAGTATGCTTTCATAGAGTTTTTACGTCTTGAGTAAAAAAGTTTCGGGAATATTTTAAGTATTAATTTTAATGTTTAGGATAGCAATTCTAATTTATGTTGTAATTAACATGACGTTTCTTTCATAAACGTTCCATGGCCATAGCGATTTTAGTGTTTGCAATGGCATTGAGGTTTTGTTTTTCGTTAAAATGTCA